TTAATTTATAATTTTGTGTGATTTTTGTGTGTTTGTATATATTTTAGGTGTTTATACCTATATTAATGTAAATAATATATTTTAAATATTTATATATTATTATATTATAAAGTGCAGAGTAAATTACTGTGCATTTTGCGAAAAAATGGAACAAAACAAAAGAAAAGAAAGGAAGAAGAAAGAAAAGAGAAATAAAAAAAATAAAAACAAGCAAACAAATGAGGAGGTCCCACCCTCAATTATATATATATATATATATATGTCACTACAAGAAGTTGGGTCTTGAATAACGAATTATTTTTGTCACCAAAGAGCTAATTTCGTCACTATAGATATTTGTGAGGAAATATTTTCGTCACCGATTTCGTCATTGAATGATCGTCCCTAAAGATCACAGTGAGGAAAAAGAATTTCGTCACTAAAAAATTACTTTAATAACGAAAACCTTTGTCACCAATTAGACAATATTTTTTCACAAAAAATTTTCATTTTCGTCACCAAATAATTACTCAGTTCCGTATATATAACTTTAGTTGACAAAATTTTTTGTCACGGATGTTGATCATTAGCGAGGAAATATTTTCGTCACGATAAGATGTAAAGTTTACGAAATTTTTCGTCTTCAAAAGTTTGATATAAGTGACGAAATATATTTCGTGGCAATAAGATTTATACATGACAAAATTTTTAGTCACCAAACAACAAAATTAACAAAACTTTCCATATATAAACAGCGTCAAATTTTGTCACAAAAAGTTATTTATTGGTGACGAATAAGCACTTTGTCACAATAAGTACATGCGACAAAAAAATTCGTTACAAAACTTATTGTTCCATATTTTATATTTCAATTTAAATTATTATTTCACAAATATCTCTGCTCATATTTCAATAGCCTTAAATTTTTCCTAAGAAATCCATTAGGTATTATACACCACTCCACAAAAAAATTCAATAAACAATTGATATTATAAACCAAAATATATCCATCAAACAAATTTAATAACAATTTATTAACTATAACAAAAAGACAATCAAAGCAAATCCCAAAATGAACTAAGTATCAATCCACAAAAAATAAATAAATAAATAAAAATCAACACTTGATCAGTTACAAGTAGAACTAATTATCAGTCTACAAAAAAAATTAACACTTGATCTTGATTTGCAAGTATGCTTCCAAATGTCATCCAAAAATCAATCTGCAAAGAAAATAAAAAAGGAAAACATTAATATATTATCAATTACATCTAAACTCATATATAAATAATTTCATATATGAGTAAACCAATTTAGCAAAAATGCATTTTCTACCGAAATTTGACTTTCATCTGTACTAAATCACAAAATAACAGCTAATCTAATTGGGGGCAAGTTCTTGCAAGTTATATGAACACCTATGAACCTGCCAATATTGAAAACAATCAAGTAACATAATGAGTTTTATTGTCATATAGAATGGTTCAATGAAACTTGGATCTTTGTTCTACTAACTCCAGTTTTCTCCATAAATTTCACTATCTACCAGTGGATGTCCCTTTGATACAACTTCACTATCTCACTCACTGTTTCTCCAACTTTGCTTAGAAAGAAATGAGAAATACTGATATGGGTTGATTGTTTTTAATGGGTTTTCAATTTCACAAAATTCAAACTAAAATAGATCAACATAAACAATATAAAACTAAGCATTTTAGTGTGTTATGATCATTTTCAATGTTTCAATGTTTGTACTAGCAATTTAACAATGTTTCAAGTGTAACTTTCTTAAACAGTTGTGTTTTAACCAATATATACTAACCAACATGAGAAAAATAAAAAGATAAAGCAAGATAGACTTACCAAAAAAGCGATCTAGGGATGCCCCTCCCCTAAATTGCCTGTTAAAACCTTGTTTCTTAAGAAACTGGCAACTCGAGCCAACAATTTAGCATGCTCCTGTGGGGTCATGTCTCTAAGGTCTTGAAATGTCCTCACTTTATGCATTACATAACAAAAATTGATATTGCACATTACGAGTTTATGTTTTAACGTGTATATATATAATGTGAGTGACATGCGCAAATATGTTTGTATTAGACAAAAGCATCACTCCAAAATATTGTAAAAAATAATTTAAAATCAAACATTCAACATATTTAAAATGTAACAGATATAGATTTCATTTAAAATATAACAGAAAAAAAATAAAGCAGAGGAGTTCCATTTCTGTAAAGTGTCCAGTCACCCTCTAAATCGGTACAAGAATAAATGTGCACTGATATATAAATTAGCAAAATAATAATAAAAAATAAATAAATAAGAAAGACAACAAACAATACAATGATACACCCAGGAAAGCCAAAAAATATTATAGCAGAATGAGATTTCAATGATCAAACACCTGAATTATACTTTAAGAAAGCGCAACCACTCCGGTGGCAGGCCTCAGCCATCCATGTCCTTGCTGAGTGCGAGGTATAACTGCTATCTACATGCACAAAGTATCTGTAAGTTATCTCAACTTGAAGGAGAAAGCAATGGGAATGGTGACAGCAGAAGAAATAAAAACAAATTAAAGCATTAAAAAAAAGGATGCAATCATATGATGGCGCATACAACATATGTCACCAACTTAGTTTTGCATGCCTAATTATCTTCATTTGAGCAACATGATCTTAAATTAGGAAAATTGTAAGGCTTCTTCATCTCAGAAGATTTTTACTTCTATGAATACTAGCAAGTGCAACAAGTCCAGTGCTGGGAACAGGGGAACTAATAGGGGAGTACACTATTTTTACTTCTCAGCCTTTTTTTGGCATGCCTTCCATTCTCCTTTTGGATCTTCAATGTGGTTGTCACGGAGCGGTGGAGGAACTCTGCAATCTGCTCGAAATCCTTCTCAAACAACCCTCTGGAAATCATAGCCGAAGTACTTGCAAACAGAGAATCTCCTCACTCATTTATATCAAAGAAAGGAATGTCAAACTATCTGGTTTTCTGATTCATATTTCAACAGAAAACAAGTGAGTTTTGAAGTTCTGAGTAAATTAAAAAGCAATCAACCCAAATCGTAAAAGCAATCAATTTACTGTATCACTAAACAAACACGCGTACCAAACCAGATCTGTCAGAATTACTAGACATGTAATTTGGTGGATACAGGCAAGCAACTTCAAGTTTTCATATCAATTATTCTTTAAATTCCACTTTGACATCTAAGAAATTAATGAAATATTGAGTACCACATGGCTAGAGCAATCGAATAAAACCCATTTTTCCTAGTTAAATCATTTATCTCAAGAAATGGGGTAAATGGGTTTGAGCTGAAGTATTCAGTGATAAAAAAAACCACACTTTCAATTCAAGTCCACATCCTTCCTCTCCTACTAGATTCACTAGTTTTTATGGGAGAAAATGTTGTGGTAATCCATAAAAGTCAGTTGTTCTAGGAGTCAATTCAAAAGACTCTTTCAGTCACATTCTCATGTGAGATCTATCTGTTATCAGTAAAATGGTGCCCTCAAATCAACAGTTCTTACCAATTCGTACCCCTCCGGGAGACAAGGCACTGTTGTCACCGAGCACAACATTCTTATTTACAGTTATGTTGCACAAGTCACAGAGCTTCTTAACCTGATTGCCTGCAACAAAAGCAACAAATAATTAGATTCCATGAAAAGACCAAAAAGATGAAACCCATAATTTGGTATATATTTCATAAATATTTAGAAAAAGTTGGTGCCCAGAATAAGAATAACAATCAATAAGCATTTGTCAAAGACTTCAAGTGACAACATTACTATTGTTTATGAAATTAAATAATTAGTGTAAGGCTATATGGGATTTGCGTTTTTCCATTTATTATAATTAGAAACAACTTTGAGTTTTCCCGATCACCCATATAAGCTAAGTTAACGGAGGGCTACAACTAGCTTCCCTAAAGCAACTTAAATTATTATTACTTGAAGCATGAACACCTTTGCACTCTAATAGTGCCCCTCTCATATGACACCGATTCACTTTTGCACGAGATTTCCTTTTAGGTATTATCTCACAGACCCGTATGCTAATGGGCCTTACGAGCCAAGCTACACATTGATCAAGCTCACATATTGAACAAAGAAGCTTAGAGTCTAGGCTTGAGGTTTATGTATTTGACATAATACAAGTTTGGCAAAGCTCTAAACAAACCGAAGCTAGAGCTTCCCAAAGCAGCTTAGTTCATCTTATAGTCTGCTTATTGAGAGGCAATTGCATAGCATGGACGATAGCACCTAAGGAAAAACTTGTAACCTAACCCAGGAAACCTAGGCCATTGGTAGGTTAGTGAAAAACAGTAAGTGGATTGGAATAGATTGTCTTTAATTTATTGAAAGCAAAGCTTTCTATATTAATTGTCAACCTAAAAGGATAATCAATACATCGCTGCCAACTCTTCCATAAAAATCATTTTATTCTATTCCATCTCATTTTAGTAAATCTAATAAAACATTATAATATTAAGCTCACAAGTGATAACTTGGAACTAAATTCAACCTTTGTGATTGAAACTAATTGTAACAGATTCTAGTTCCAATATTAAACTAAAACACAAAATATAATTAAAAAAAACACAATGTTTTAGAATTATTGGAAAAAAAATAAAAAAACAGAACACATAAAGGATGGCACTTTGGAGTCATCAAATCCAAAGTTTCAACACAGAGAGAAGGGGCTTCAGGGGAAAAAAACAGGGGGTTCACTTAGATATATCACTCTATTGAAACTGTTAAAATATTAAAAATTTAATATTGATCTTCAAAGTTCTAGGGGTTCAGTTGAAGTCACTAACTTCTACTTGTCGTCGCCCTTGAACATGAAAATCCTTGCAACAGGTCATTACCAACAAAGTTGTGGGATTATTTTCCATGTCTAAAATAGCTACCTCATCCTAAATAAATCCCATTGTCAACAAATTCCCATTGACAAAATGAGCCTTATCAAATCGAAATTGTGCATACCCAGTGGCTTCTCAGGGTCAAACAGTGTGTGCCACAAATCTTACTTCAAACTCCTTACACTTTGAGGGAAGAGTCAAATTGAACAATTAAAGTTGCATACCTCAGACTAAACTGTGAGACCGCTCTCTATTTATCTACTTTCAATAGTTGAGGATGAAGTTAATGGCGTAGATTCAGCATGTTGGGACTCATCAAAGGAGCCTTGAGAAGCTTCCTTTTTCAACTTGTGGTTGTTATATGCAACTACACCTGCAATGGCTGCATAAAAAACCATATTTCTTCGCTAGGTCAATAGGTATCTAAGAAACACAGATGTAAAAACAAGATGCAGATGCAACATAATACGGAGATACTAAAACTACAATTTTCAAAAAATGGAGACAAAAAAATTGAAAATATAACAGAGAACACCCTAAAGTCTATTTTAAGAAGGCATAAGGATTCACAAACAAATTGGAAATTATTAGTCTTTATGGTTTGAAAAATTAAAAAGCCTGAAGGAGTAATTAGTTGGTATAAAAAACTTCTTTTCATTTTACTCTATTTTTTTCCAAACTTGAACCAAGGCCACAGATGTGCCTCACACATGCTGGCATGTCTGCTTTTTAAAAAATAAAAATAAAAAGGGCATAATTGGACACATGTCAGACATAGACATGCCGACCTAGGAGGCATCCTCGTGCTTCCTAGATAGGTAATCTCTATTTCATGAAATCACATGTCTAATCAAAAACAAAATTAAATCACATATCTTTTTGTCTTGCACAAATAGTATTAAAGACAGTAGAAACATTATTGCAGTACATTAAAATTGAAATTTCTTTTCTGAGTGATCAACAGGGTTCTCATCCAGATCCTAAGCACGATCACTATCTGAAATGCAGATGAAATAAACAATAGTATTTTTTATTAGAGAATGGAAAAAAATAATACATTAAAAAGTACAGGAAAAAGAGAAAACCAAATGCAACACACAATATGCCAAGCATTGCCCCAGCGAAAATATGAAAAAAAAGGCATATCTCAATGGTCAGATAAGTAACAGTATCTACATCAAGAAAATGTGAATTCCATAACATTGAAAACGCAAATTTTTTATAAAGCTCAAGAAAAATAAATTTTTATGGATAATACAAAGGATAACCACTTATACAATGCCGTTTTTAAAGTATGACAGACTGCAGTTTTTTGTTCTACTTTCTTGGAATTGATTTCCAATGTGAACAATCTATAACAGTAGAATATAAACAGTACAACATTGAGAATATACAATGGACATACTAAATATATAAATAAATATCATAATACTAATATCAAATTTTGAGACAATAAACTATAGTGAAAACCCAAAACAAAAGTACTTGTTATCGAAAAATTACCAATGCCATAACCAAACAGATTTATCATTGTCAACATTGTATCAACAAACAGAAGGGCTGATAGTAAGACAACAACCCAATCCTTGACAACTCCAGCAACACGAATTGTCAAAGCACTTGTATGCGAGATCACAAGAAAAACTGATAGATTGAGTGCAAAAGTATAGAGAGAATTGAGTGTTAGGATAACAGGTTGAAAGCTCCATGTCCCTTGGGCGTCCATCTTTGGCTTCTCTAGAAAAATCCACAGAATGAACAAGCAAAGAACACTGCACAAGAACTATGATTCCGTTCACATGGCAAAAAGGTTCTGCATATAAACATCAAATGGTGAAAGAAATAATGATAACAATTAAACTTTGGCAGATGAAAATACATGCCTGCAGGGACTAACGTAGTACATGACAAAAATAGGGTTTAGTTTGAGACCCTTCATTTTAACAAAAATCTCCATGAATATAAGCCTCAAAGCTTCCCCAACAACACCTCCCATTTGGTAAACCAAACCAATCCAGTTAATATCAATCTCCTCATATGTAGTCATTAGAACACTAAAACGTATCACTGACATTATTAAAAGCATTCTACTACATTCTTCAAATATAGAATAGCAATTTTGTGCATTTAAAACCCTAGAAATCATTGCCATCTTATATCCTTTTCAATTTGTGTATGATATGAAACAAGTTAATCTATTTCCTAAACAGAGAGCCATTAATCCATCTTTATAGCGATCCCGGTTGTCCCTTTACTGTTTTATTGTATTCCGAACTCGGTTCCGTGATGTTGGTGGTGGTATACCTTGTTGTCATCCTTTAATTCCACTTGATTGAGTTTTAGGATGTATTGGGCAGAGTTGTTACAGGTTGGTTAGGCTTTGGTTTCAATTCTTTGTTGCCTAGTTTTTAAGAGGTCCGCTCGAGCGAGTCTTCTTGCGCTCGAGCGGAGATTGCACGCTCCCAGTTTTTCGTGTCCCTACAAAACTTCTGCAAGTGTGATTTTTAAGCTCGAGTGGGTTTCTTTACGCTCGAGCGGTGGAGCTTGAGCGGGTACTTTGGCGCTCGAGCGGGTAGTACCTTTGGGTGTAAGTTCTGGGAGGGGGAAATCTACGCTCGAGCGGACTGGTTTTCGCGCTCGAGCGGATGTACTTTATTCTTGTGTCTTGGCGCTCGAGCGGGCCTTATTGCGCTCGAACGGACCTAGTTTCAACTATTTTGACTAGATCTAAGTCATTTGAAGTCCGATTTTGGCAATGCAATAGTGCTTTCCAACTATTTGAAATATTGATATGGTCAGATTTAACAAATTAAATTTCAAAAATTTACAGTTTTTATTTTGGCGATTCGAAGTTCCTTTATGGCTAATTTGACCAGTCCAGACTTAACGGTAAAGTTTGATTTTTCAGACAGAGATCATTTTCTATAGAGACAATTATTGATGGAGAAATCAATGTCAACTTCGGGATTTATGATAAAGCTGAATGCTTCGAACTATGCAATTTGAAAGCCTAGAATGGAGGATGTTATGTACTGCCGAGATTTGTTTGACCCCGTTGAGCTTAGAGGAGTCAAACCAGCAACAGAGAAGGATGGAGACTAGAAGCGGAAGAATTGGAAGACCATTAGTCGGATTAGATAATGGATCGATCACAGTGTCTTCTACCATGTTGCGCAGGAGACTGATGCATATGCTCTCTAGACGAAATTAGAAGGCATGAACTAGTCGAAGACTGCTCGAAATAAAGCCCTCCTGATGAGATGACTTATAAATTTAAAACTAAAAAGCGGCGTCTCTGTTACGGAACACACTTGTGAGTTTCAAAATCTGGTGAACCAACTGGCAACTGTAAAAGTAGAGCTAGATGATAAGATTTAGGCCCTATTGGTACTCAGTTCTTTGCCAGACAGTTGAGAGACGTTGGTGGTGTCTCTCACCAACTTTGCACCTGAAAGAAGATTGACTATGAACATGTTCATTGATGCTTTATTCAGTGAAGAGGCAAGAAAGAAAGACATGGGTGGAGATCAGTCCCATGCCCTCGTCACAAAAAATAGAGACAGAGATAAGGGTAGAGACAGAGACAAAAGTAGAGGAAGAAGCAAAAACAGATGACCTAGCAGAGGAAGATCTCAAGATAGAGAAAAGTCTAGAGAAGGTAAGAGTCGGCCAAGGTTCAAGTGTTACCACTGTGGCTAGGAGGGTCATATAAACAAATATTGTTATTCTTTGAAGGGAGAATAAAAACAAGGCAATAGTCAGCCGAAGACCGAAGACGGGAATGCTGCAGTTACTATCTCAGAGGATGTTGCATTATTCTTTATTGGAGAAGAACAACGTTTCCATATGTCAGACAACGACACTGAGTGAGTGGTAGACACAACAACTTCTTACTATGCCACACCTAGGAAGGAGTTCTTTAGTACGTACCAAGCTGGAGATTTTGGTATAGTGAGGATGGAAAATTCCAGTTTTTCAAAGATTGTGGGAATCGGTGATGTTCGCATCCAAACCAAA